GGTAAGAAATCGAACGTAACGTAACGCGTATACAAGCGCGAACACGTAACAAAATAACAACATCATACAAATCGAAATGTAAAACCAAAAAAATCGGGTTGGGGTTGCAGTTGACTCCTGTGTCGATCCTGTTGGTCGCCGTCGTTGTTCCTCGCTGCTCGTCCACTGTTGTCGGTTGTTGTCCTCGCCGCCGCTCCTCGTTGCCGTTTCCTCGCTGAATAAGCGCTAGCCGAAGGGCTTGGTCGGTGCGCCTCGCTGCCTCCCGTCGTCGCTACACATAACAAAGGTAAAGTATATGCACTTTACACACACATACACAGAACATATACATTTTTGGATTTGGAATAAACTGCATGAGTCATGCTTCTCGAGAAGATGCATCTTCTCGACACTCCCGAGAGCGACGACTTGGTTATTGAACTGCAATTGTTTCTTTGTTGCTACTGTTGTTGCCGTTTTTGCCCCTCCTCTTCGAGGTTTGGATCTGCTACTCTTTGATATCTTGGGTCTGCTTCTGGCGCTACTTCCAATGGTAGTAGCAAATTGATTGGCCTTGCCCATTTCCTTCCGTTCGCAAGTTGAACTGATGCGGTCCATACTTGGCAGTCTTTTCCTTTTATCACCTCTACAGTTTTACCCATTCTCCATCTACCTCACGGCTGGTTGTCCTCAGCGATAAGTACAACTTCGTTGAGTCGTGGTACGCGCTTGAGCGTACTTTTTGGCTTCTTGTGATCTCTTTCGAATCGTTCTCTGACCATGTTGAGGTAGTTCGTTTGCCAGAATTTCCAGAAACGATCCAGACACTTCAGCGAGTTCTTCCAGTATTGAAGTAACTTATCTCTTGGTAGCACTATGACTCGGAAATCCTGCTCTTCTTCGGTGACTGAAATCTTGATTTCTGATTTCGGTATCAGAAAATCGATGGGTCGAATTGTTCCGCAACTTTCTTCCTCCACATATGTAAGTGGTCGAGCATTTAGGATTCCTTCTGTTTCTCATACAAACGTATGTAGTTGTTCTTGTTTCAGTAGCTTCTGGCCTACGGCTACTCGAAACGATTTCTTGACGAGACCCACCAGACGTTCGTATAAGCCGCCTTTCCACGGCGCTGATTCGGTTATGAACTTCCACTCGGTAGCTCTTGTTGAACCGTAATCTTCTAGTTCTCGGTTGTTTTAGTTGATCACAGTTTCGGTTGTCTTGGCTGCCAAGTTGAATGGAGTTGCATTGTCGCATAGAACTGAATCGGGTGCTCCGCATCTAGCAACAAATCGTCGGAAGCAGTTTATGAATGCTTCTGCTGACAAATTCCAAGCAACTTCTAAGTGCACTGCTCGTGTTGTCAGACAAGTAAAGAGGCAGATCCACCGCTTGCTTGGTTCATCCACTGCTGCTACGTTGATTGGACCCATGTAGTCCATTCCTATGTGTTGGAAGGCTTTTGACGGATTTACTCGGTTTTTCGGATGTGCCGGAAACTGCGGTAATTGGTATGGTTTTGCCTTCCATCTTCGACAACCTTGACAATGACTGATTGTCTTCTTGACAACAGCTCTTCCTTTCGGTATCCAAAATCGCTGGCGTAGTTGTGCCAGAGTATGCGCAACTCCACTGTGAAGTTGTGACTCGTGATAATATCGAACAATGAGTACTGTGATCCATTGTGATCGTGGAAGATAAATGAGAGACTTGCGATCTCGTGCGAGCTGCGAGTTGAGAATCCTTCCGCTATATCTCCACAGTTGATTTTCATCTCTCACAAATTCCCATTTACATACTTCTTCCTCGGAGATATTGCCAAATTGGGCTTGCTGTAGGAGAAGCGTCTCTGCTTTCTTGTAGCCTTCGTAATTTGCTGGTCTTCTCTCCTTTGAGCGAAGGTTCTTTGTGAAGCGGATCGCTTTTGCCAAGCTCCCTTGCATTGTTCTCCAACTGCTGAAGCGAGTCGGGGACACCCACTGCAGGGCTGTACTGATTCAAAAATTGCATTAGCTGCCATTGGCAAGTTTTGTTCTTGTTTCGAAAACGTCTTTCTTGTTCTGTTTTCGAGCTGTTCTGCTTCTTCAGCTTCTTGTGGATACTGCTTGTTTTTGATTCTTCCCACTTGGGCCATTCCTCCTTCGGAAGGCTAAGCCACGGTGGGCCTGTCCACCACAACTGATGAGTTTGAAGTATTCGTGGCACACTTCCTCGTGACGCGATATCTGCTGGGTTTTCGTGTGTAGGAACGTAATTCCATGGTCCCTTCGTTTTACTGATTTATGCCAGGCGATTTGTGATGAATTTGGAATTGATTTCTTTCTTCGATCTGATCCAGTGTAATACACACTTGCTATCACTCCACAGGTAGAACGGTACGTCGTTCAAGTTGAGCTGCTTGCGAACAAAGTTGAGTAGCCTGACTTCAATTAGTGCAGCTAGGAGTTCCAATCGCGGTATGGAAGCTTTTTTGATATGGAAGCTCCCTATGCTCCCTGTATGTTGAATTTGCCGTGGCGGTGCAAACCGATGGGTTTCCCAACTGCTCATGAGCCCCTGCCATTCTGCCTCATCTTCCTTCCTCACTGTGCTATCCCAATGATACCCTTTCTTCCATAGTTCTTGAAGAAAGCACTTTAAGGGAAGGAAAATGGGCGTAATCCAACCAGCTGGATCGTTATTCGATGCTAAAAAATGCAAAACCTTTCTCTTCGTGATGGTCACTTTAGTTGATGTCGCGATCTGCAGTACGATTTGATCCTGTTTCGGTTTCCGTGGTACTCCAAGGACATTGATGACTTCGGCATTCGTGTAACTGTCTTCTTTGGGAATTCTTCTGTTGAACTGCTGACTGTTGCTGATGAACTCTCGTATGTTCATCTTGGCGTCACGAAACAATTCTTTCGTTTGTCGATACTTCTCAATAGCCTGATCGGCCGTTTCTGCTGTCAGCATCATGTTGTCGACATACAAATTTTGAAGGATCTCGAGTGCGATTCGAGAACCGTCCTGTTTCAAATGTTTGCGAATTATAGATGCCAACAGGAATGGGCTTGATACAATTCCAAACGGCACCCGCGTGAACCGAAATTCTTGCAGGTTTTCTTCTGTGATTGGTTCATCCTTGTTCTTGATCCAGAGAAATCTGGTACAATCTCTATCTTCTTGATGAAGTCCCACTTGTAGAAGGCCTTCTCGACATATGCGAGAATTACCACCTTTGCTTGACGAAATCGGAGCAAGATTCCGCACAAATTGGGTAGGATTGATGGTCCCTTTAGTAGTTCGTCGTTGAGAGATTTGCCTTGGGCCGTTTCTGCTGATGCGTCGAATACGACTCGTAAATTGGCGGTCGTTTTCATTAGAGTTACCACAGGTTGATTTGACAGATACGTAGTACGACCTTGGATTTGGCCTATACCAACTTTCTCGATTATGCCCTCGGCTAATTCCTTTTTGAACGTTTGGTTATACTGCTCAAAAAGCTGTCGGTTGTGGCGCAGTCTTGCCACTGTTGATTTGAGTCTAGCCAAACACATCGCGTAATTGGTTTGCAGGCCTAGAGATTCTGTCTTCCACGGCCAACTCACGAGGTAGCGTCCCTCGCTGTCTCTAGTAATGCTATTTTCGAATTGCTCAACAGCTTCTTCTTCTTTTGTAACTTCTATAGGCTCTGTAACGCCTACGGCAACTAACTGCCAAAATCGATTGACTTCTACTTGATCCACTACAGGATTGGCTATGATTGCTGTTTGAGCTTGTACTGGGCCCCTACGATTGTAAAGCTGACCTTTCCCAGCAAGGATCCATCCTATTTTTGAATCAATTAGTTGATAACTTGACCTGAGAATTTTTCGAGTTCCTTTGATAATAGAGAAATAATAATCAAGAGCCACAATAATTTGAGGCTGCTTTCAAGCTGTCGGTAAATCGCTTCTTTTTGGGTCGACTGCTTGTAACATGCGCGCTTGTTTGCTGTTCACAGAGGTTGTCAGAATCCTTTGTGTCAGGAACTTCATCGTGTTCGCTGTTATGGTTTGGTGTTTCCCATCCTCCAAGACCAAATCGAACTTAACCGTGCGGGATTCGAAAGTTTTGGGTTGCTTCTCTGTAAAAGTTGCGATTGAAACCGATTTCTGTTGAGACTTTTCGATCCCGAGCTTCTCTGCTAGGTCATCTGTGATGAATGATCGTTGACACCCTGCGTTGAAGAAAATTGTTGCTTGTGTCTTCTTTCTTGGTTGCTGCGGATTGGCAATCCAAACTGTCTTGCAGAGTAAAAGAATTGAACTCTGTTGTCGCCTGTTACCACCATTGGCTTGAGATACTGTATTTGCCACCACTTCGTTGGTATCACTGCCACTAGCTTCTTGGCACTCGTTATTCTTGATTTTACTGGAAGATGCTTCCCTTTTCGAATTATTCGATCACAAGGCTGAATTGTGGGGCCCTTTGCAGTGAAAGCATTTCGGCGTTTTGCGACATGCTTGGGAGATGTGCCCGCTACCAAGGCATTTGAAGCAAAGCTAGCGTTCGTGCGCCTGTTGAATCCTTTTCTCATATTTATCGTATTCCTTGCATTGGC